CCTAACTTTTCTATTGTTGTCTATTCCTCCGCAGCACAATATATTTTTGGGATCTTCGAGCCCATAGACCTACTCTCCAGGCTTCAAGTGAGAAGAAAAAGGAGGATAAGCTGATTTTGGCTCCGCCTGATGTGCCTACTACCTTCAAACACCTGGATCTCTGCTGGAGGCCTCTCATTAGTATGGGCTGTCAATTTAGGGAGCCGCAAGGTGCATGATAGGATGTTAGCTACAGCAATAGTTTAGTTATTTCTCCACCGTACCTTCATCCCTCAAGGTGAGTTCTCTGTGAGCAATCTTACGTTCCGGAAAAGAATACCTATTTTCGCTCATAGAGCACTTTTCCCCTAAAAAGAAGGGAAATGTGTGTGCGTCCTATGGAGCGAAGGCTTTCGCTGAGCTGAGAGCGAAGGGTGTTGCACACCGACCTCTCGTCTCCACCATTGGACCTTTTCATTCGGATGCCTCAAGGCAGTGAAGTTTCTCTCTGAGCAAATCGGATTATGTTTCCCGGAGAAAGCATTAATTATTTAAAATTGCATGTACAGATTGTCCCACTCTGCAGCAGGTGGGATAAACATGATTCATTTAAAAGCAAGCCCTACCCAATCCACACGTTCCAAAAGAAAATGCAAACTGAAACGCAGCCGCCCTTCAAAATTCGCACAGCTCTGAATTTCGCAGTGCAATTCTCTAGCCGGGGAATGTGTACCCCCAAAAATTGCATCCCTAGGGTAAATGTTGCATTCGTGAAAAATAGCAGGCACAAATGCATTATTATGGAGGGAAACCTGCTTGGAAAAAGGTGTATATTAGGCAAAATGACATAGGAAAACGTGTTCGTGGGGAGAAATTCACAGTAAAATGCTGATGTGTATTCATAAGGACTTTCCTTTTTCAAAAGAAAATGCAATCTGATGTGGAAATGGAAAGAAACTGAATTTATGAATGGAAAAATGATTTGGACAGCAAGCCCCACAGGGACTGATGGGAGTTGTAGTCCAAATTGCCTGGCAGGCACCAGGTTGGTGAGGGCTCGCGTGGCACAACTAACGCTTCTGACCTCTTATCTCAGTACCACTGAATGTGTAAGCTGCCTTTCTGTCTGGTCACACCTGAAAGTGATGTAACTTTTAACTCAAGTTTCTTTGTGGAGTATACGGTCCAATGCTCTTCGTATCTTAAAACAGGTGAACCTGCCCAAGACAGATACAGGTGCAGAGTACAGCCCTATAAAACTTAGCTTCAGAGAAGAGCATTACCACACCAAAATTCAAGGTATATATATATATATATATTTACATTATATATACATGCATTTTATATACATATGGACTGATGCCAGCACATCTCCCTCCACCTGGTTTCTACACCATTCAGGGTTGCCCCTAACCCTCTGGGGAGAGGTTTGGGGGGGGCACAGGAAGCTAAGCTTTCTGCTTGCAAAACCTCAAAACCCAACGCTATACCTGTAATGTGGGTGCTTATTAAATCTACTTTTAGTGGAGAGAGGTGGGGGGAGGGAGCAGGGGTGTAAACTTGAATATTGGGGGCCCAGTTACACCCCCACCCCACATAATCGATCACAAGACATGTCACGCACACACCATTTTAATGGCAATGCTCATCAACTGGGGGGGGGGGAGAGGCTGGTTCCCTCAAATATTTATGGGGGGGAGGTGTCCTTGGTCCCTAGGAGTTGGAGAGAGCACATTCATTAAATGCCATACATGCTTCCCTTGGGGCATGTCTATTCGCCGTAACATAACCTGGTGAAATTGACAGCAATTTCTCTCATAAAACATGGAGAAACATACCCACTGAGGGAGTTAGATAACAATTCTCTATTGAGAACTCCTCTAACTCAGGGGTGGCCAACTCCCAAGAGAATGCGATCTACTCACAGAGTTAAAAACTGGCAGTGATCTACCCCCTGTTTTGGGGGGTTCAGGTCAAATTTGTTGAGGTATTTTTTTGGGAGGGCGAAAGCCCAGTTTTTTAGGGGTTCAGAGCAAAAATGTTGAGCTTTTCTTCGGGAGACACAAACTTGTTGAGCTGCTTTGGGGGAGCCAGTGATCTACCGCAGACGTCCAGTGATCTACCAGTAGATCACGAGCTACTGTCGGTCATGCCTGCTCTAACTGAATAAACTGCAGGACAATGACAATTCTGAAATGTGGATTACTCATAGCTTGCCACGAGGCTTTCACCTTCTGCCCACCTGAGCTTCAAGATGGTAGATGAAAGGCATTAATTAATGGGAGCAATTGCTGTGCTTAGTAGTTGTTGTTTTTAATGCAAAACACGTCAAATGATAGCAATGAGTGAGTAGGAATGTGGAAAGTTTCGGGAGTTTTTGTTTATACCACCTGTATAGTGATTTTATCCACATTCTTCCAAAGACAAAACACAGCCCCAAGTCAAACAGGAGGCACTTGTGGAAAAGCTGCCATACAGCGAGATACAGGCCACGTCCATGAAACCTCTCAAGCTGCTAGAAAATGTCACCAGCAGCTTTTTTGTTGGGACTGAGGTAAGTTGGACATTTGGGTGTACAGTTGTTCTTTAAGTGGGGGAGGTAAGAGACAATTGGAGAATGCAAGGCCTGAACTTAAAGGAAAAGTAATAACCACACCATAAAGTGATTTTTTTTTTCAAAGCGCCTCTTAAACCATCCCGGCATTTCTTCTGCATTCTCTCAGCTCAGTCTCTTAAAAACAAGGCATCATGCAGGAAATGGTTTCAATTTTGCAAACACTTTTGTATGCTTCAAAAGAGATCAAATCTCAGCTTAAAATAAAATAAAATTGTGACCAGTATTTCACTTTATGGCATTGCAGGATGGTGAAGTCCTTTATACCGACTGGAAGATGGAGAGAGATGGGGACTCAGGAAGACTGCTCAGTATGCTTTGAATTTCTCTGGGTCGACAGGGATTGCTGTGGGATTTGGGTGGCTTTTGTTTTGTTTTTTTAAACTGACCAAGGACAACACAGTTCTGAAAAAAATCTGCATGTAACAGTTTCTTCAGTCAATGTTAATGTTACTCAACTGAACTGAGTTTAACAGGATACAGTAGTGAGTTTGGCATTAGAGAGGTGTTGCTGAGTAAAAGAGAGAGGGAGAGGTAGAAAAGGCAAATAAATGCTGAGAACACTACTACTAGCAATGGGGCACGGGGGATAAATTCAATTCTCTTTGCATTTCCAAAGCAACAGTTGAATCAAAACGAAACCACTGTTGAAAATTTACACTTCTCCAAATTGTGCTGTGTAGTTTTCCAGCCAAGCAGTGCTTTAAAAAGTGCATGTCTTTTAATATTGCTTTGCCAAAACATTTATATCAGGAGAAATCTCATGGGTATATTGGCAGAAACTCCTGACAAATTTTCATATGGACTTTAAATTCTCCTCACACACTGCAGCAAAGGTTTATTACTCAAGGAGATACATGCATGTATTATTGTGCTGTGGGGTTCAGATGAGAACAGATTAACAGAGGATATTTCAAAAACTACATGTAGGTAAAGGAACTAGTTAGATTAGGTTCAGGGGCGATGCGAGGGGGTTGCCTAGGTGGGGTGTCTGAGTCCTGGGATTTTTTTGTGCTGTGAGGACCTAGATCTCCTGACCCTCCTTTAAAAAACAAACAAAAAACTTTTGAAAAACTTTGCTTAAAGGGCAGCAGGGCAAACAGCAATGTGTGGGGCTGGTAAGACCCCAATCTACCTTCTTTAATTTGCACTGAGGAACTATATGTATTTGTGCAAATTTGTGGCATATGGACCTGTACTTTGAGGCCTTATTCACATCTGCACACTTATGCCACTTTAAACAATCATGGCTTCCTCCAGAATCCTAGCAACTCTAGTTCATTTAGAGTGCTGGGAATTGTAGCTCTGTGATGGGTATTTTTCTCTTTATCCTGACCTCTTTAAAAGGCACGGAATAGGCACTTACCAACTAGTTCAACACCTTGCAAGAGCCAGATAAAATGTGACAAAGAGACAAATGTATGCACATACAAAACAGAGTCTCTCTCTCTCTTTCTCGTAAGGTCAAAAGCCATCCAACACGTACATCATCCATGATGGACTTGTCCATACTGTACAGAGGTCTCCGTTTTTCAAAGACATAATTCTCACTGTTGGAGGATGGAATTTTGCAATATGGAAAGAAGGTGTCACGGTATGTTCCTCTGGAATGGGAAATCCTTAACAAAGGGGTGACAAGTCCATTCCAAATGTAGCACAAGGTGATTCAGAAAGGTGTAAGGAACAGGTAGGAACGTGTTTTCAGCTGTTTGTTTGGGGGGGGCGGACATTGACCTGTTTACCTATTTCCTTTGATATTCTTCAAGAGAAGTTTCCTGCAAATGGTTTATATGTATATGACTCCTCTCAGTGAATATAACAGAATATTTTAAAACCAGCCATGATTCTCTAATCAAGAGCTGTTATAGCTCGAAGCATATGGGATATTTTTTCCAAGAAAAAAACAACATGAAAACACCCCAATTTCTTGCACCTGTTTGAATAATGCTGTGCCCCACTGATTCAGGACATACTGAAGGATATTCTTCAGTTCCCCACAGGTGTAGAGGTTTCACTATTTCAATGTATACGCATAAATTCACGATGCAAGCATAGCTTCTTCTGCCAGCAGAGTGGAATTTATCAGTGATGAATATCTGATGAATTTATCAATTTATCATATATCCCCATGCACCTGCCATAAACTGAGGATACAGATCCCCAATAAATTTCTGTTTTAATCTTCTTGTATTCTTCAGTTGCAGTTAAGATACCCAAATATAGCAAAATCCTTTAAAAAGCACTCTCACATAGAATTGTAACTGGTTGTACAATGTGTGAAACTTGTCAGCATAATGATTGAAAGTTGATGAAGAGTTTAATGGGGATTTCCCCGCAGCTCCCATTTTAATGGGATGGTATGGGAAAAGGCAGGAATACTCCAAAAAAAGACAGAAATATGGAAGTGTTAGGTGAACAATTTTAATCTGGTATTTGTTTCATGCAACTATTTTCCTTTTGGCCTTTGCTTTTTTAATGAAGAGCGGTCCCCTCCTTGAGTCAAGTTGCACAGCAAAGAGATACACTGTTGGGCAGTGGTCCTTATCAAGGCCAGGTGTTTTCTTCATTGGGAGAGAAGATGGAAATATTGACATTTGGGACCTGTTGGAGAAGACTCATGAAGCGTCTCAGACCCAAAACGTCTGTATTGCACTGATTACTTGCATCAAACCCTGGATTTACTCTTGTATGTCAGTGTACCGTATTTCTTATTTCCTTACTTTGAATGTAACTTTGCAGTGGATGGGCCAGGTTAGATAGAAAGGCAATGTTTTTTTTTTTAAAAAAAAGGCAATTCAAATGGAGATATCAACTTGTATCACATGCACAGTTGGCTATAAGATGGCAAGGGAAAGGAAGAATAGGGAAAGCAGCAATGAAATTTTGCCTAAGTCTGCTGGTCTAGCATTTACCCTCCGTCAGATGCATGAAACAGAGTCCAGGTGCCATTTTTAAAAATATGGTTTTCTAGGGGAAATCCTTTCCTGACACCCCGTGTGGTTTCACATTCCTGCTCTCTCCCTTGTTTTGTCAGCACCAGTTTCCATCCTCCCCAAATGGCCTTTTATTTTGTTTTTAAATAGCACTGGGACTCAGTTGCACATATGAATATAGAGAATGTAGTTAGCTCTGCAGTCAGACACATAGAGAGTTAATCTTTTATCTTTGGATGTTAGAAGTCGTAATGTTTTATTGTGATCTTTCTGTACAGTATGTATGCACACTGAGATATTTGCTCCTGCTTTTAGCTCTCTTGTGCCAAACGCTGAACAAATAGGCTTATAAACTGTATTTGGGGATTCCAGTTTAATAAGGTTTAGGGGAGGAGGAGCAAAACAGGACAGAAGGAGGCTAGGAAGAACATGCAAGAGATTGAGTTCCCAAATTGACCCTTACAGCTCATTTGCTCTCTGCCACAAATGCTGAACACACAAAAAATTCTTCTGTGTTTTGTGTACAACTCCTTCTGCATTCTCTGTCTTCTCTTACAGCAAAGCAACACTTCTTAGCGGTATCCGACGATTTTGGTACCCTGCATGTTTTGGAAATTTCGTGGACATTAACCCACCCTTCCCTCAATGAGGTTTGTAACCTGTTCCAGAAACTTGGCTGGGGAGTGGGGCAGGGGAGCTGCAAACAAGATTCCTTGCAGGGGGTTGGACTGGGGCCCCTTCCAACTCTATGATCTGGTGACATCCTGTTGACTAACAGAGAAAAATGGATGGGCCATTCATTTAAACAAGGTAAGATCAGAGGTGCAAACACAATGGTTTGTTGCATTTGTGTAACACTCATACAGTGGTGCCCCGCAAGACGAATGCCTCGCAAGACGAAAGGGTTTTCCGTTTGCGAGTTGCTTCGCAAGACGAATTTCCCTATGGGCTTGCTTCGCAAGAAGAAAGCCCATAGGGAAATCTCCGGGGACCTCTTTTAAATGGTGGCGGTGGGGAGCAAAGCCTTCCCCCCCCTCCGGCCTTCAGAAGAGGTCCAGGAAGGCCGGCGGGGGCCGAAAGGCTTTGCTCCCCACCGCCAGCATTTTAAAAGCGGTCCGGGATAGCAGGGAAGCGCTTCCCGCTATCCTGGACGGCTTTTGAAGGCAGGCGGGGGGGGAGCAAAGACTTTTGCCCCCCGCCGGCCTTCAGAAGAGGTCCTGGACCTCTTCTGAAGGCCAGCAGGGGGCAAAAGTCTTTGCTTCCCCCTGCCTGCCTTCCCGGGGCCTTTTAAATCGCCCTGGGACAGCGGAGAAGTCTTCGCTGTCTCAGGGTTTTTTAAAATGCTGGGGGTGGGAAGAAAAGCCCTTGTGCCCCCCCCAGCCTTCAGAAGAGGTCGGGGGACAGACTGTCCCCGGACCTGGTCTGAAGGCGGTTTCCAGAGGAACGCATTAATTGATTTTCAATGCATTCCTATGGGAAACCGTGCATCGCAAGACGAAAAACTCGCAAGACGAAGAAACTTGCGGAACGAATTAATTTCGTCTTGCGAGGCACCACTGTATCAGAATGCCAGGAATTGCACACAGGCAATTGTGTAGTAAGGCTGGAATGGGAGCAGAACTCAACTGGAAAACAGGCAATTACCTTGGCCAGCCACTTTGGTTGGGGAAGAAGACCTAAATGCAGCCTCTGATTGGCATAACTGACAAACTTCTGGCGGCTGGATTTGGGGAGAAACTACATTACCAAGAGACTCATTTGTTCTTTTCTTAAAGTAAATTTTAATCCCACTATTCTAGGAAGGTACATGGTTCTCTCCCCCCCCCCTTCCCCATTTTCCCACACATCTGTAATATGGAAACCTGGTTCGGCTCCCAGAGCTGGAAATGGATATTTAAAATGCCTCGTATCATAACCTAAAAATACCTTGGAATATCAGCGTTCTAGTGTCCTTCATTACTTTGAGCGAGAAGTCAAACACCTGGAGTTTTCTGAAAAGCGGCGAGAATTCAGAGAAGAAGAAAGAGAGAATATAGAGCGTGAGAAAATGATGAAGAAAACGGTAAGATTCTTTTTAAGTGACAAAAAAAGTTAGGAGTGCTAAGGTTTTGAAAAATGTGCAAATTTTTCATGTATTCTATTTATTTCCCCCCCAGGCGCTTGTGGGGCAGGCAGCGGGGAGAAGCGCTCTTCTCCCCGCCGCCCGCCTTCAGATCAGGTATGGGGACAGCAGGAAGACGCGCTGCGTCTCCCAGCTGTCCCCGGAGCTTGCGGGGCAGGCAGCGGAGAGAAGCGCTCTTCTCCCCGCCGCCCGCCTTCAGATCAGGTCTGGGGGCAGCAGGAAGACGCACTGCGTCTCCCAGCTGTCCCCGGAGCTGGCGGGGCTGGCGGCGGGGTCTCCCCGCCGTCAGCCTCCAAACCACTTCGGGAGACAGCGGGATGGCGGCGTTCCGCCTCCCTCTGTCCCCCGACCTTGTGGGGCTGGCACTGGGGCTCTCCTGAAGCCTGGAGAGCGGGAGGGGTCAGTGCGCACCGACCCCTCTCGCTCTCCTGGCTTCAGTGAAAGCCTGCATTCGCCCCATAAGACGCACACACATTTCCCCTTCATTTTTGGAGGGGGAAAAGTGCGTCCTATAGGGCGAAAAATACGGTAACCACAATCATAATTTAAGGAAGGTTAGGTTTCCCCATCTTCCCTTGTGCTGCTTCCTCTCTTCCTTCATTCGGACGTTACACAAAACCATGGTTTGTGATAGCCACAGTTAAGAGCACCATGGTTAGCACTAACAGTGCTTTGTAAACTGGCTTCAATTAATGGTTGGCTCCAGTGCTATTTTTCTAGAAAAGGAGGTTCTGGAACTCACCATTAACACCTCCCTTGTTCTCTCACAGTGGCGATGGTGCTTACTTGAGGTGCCGGAACTGAGTTCTGGCTGTGGGGGAAAAGACCCTACACAAAACATGGTTTCAGCATTAAAATAAGCAATGGTTTTGCATCATGTCTGAACCCAGCCTCTGTGGGAAATGCTTTTGGAAGGGCATGCTTTGAATGCCTTTGCCAAAACGTAATAACTATAATGTAAAACATAATAAACCAGAGAGCGGTGGGGATTTACTGTTATGTAGAGATAGCATTTGAATTTCTGCCTTTGTGGGCTCTGAGTTACAAATGATGGCATCTGTACAAGGGCATGTGACATGCAGTACCGGCTGCTGCTCACCAGAACTGGTAGGGCAGAGGCCAAGGAGACTGACTCTAGCTCTGCCTACTGTCGATGACAGGCAGTGCCAACAAATACTAGTTTTGCTTCACCCTCTCAAAAAGGTATCACTGAGATTGAGGAGGAATCTGTCACAGGCAGTGCAATCCCCTGGACCAGTTTTGAGGCAGGCAAGTGAGGGTTCATGGCGCATTGTCCCAATATGGGCCAGCCCCTACTGAATCCATGTCTGAGGTAGCAAATTCAGTGAAGCATACCTTTTAGTACAGTATGTTTGAGCTGCTGTACTGGTAAAGTGTTCTTGTTTTAGAAGCAGGGTTGGTACCCTGAATATGAACACTTAACCGTATTTTTCGCCCTATAGGGCGCACCGGCCCATAGGGCACACCTAGTTTTCAGGGGGGGAAATCAAGGGGAAAAAATATGACACTCCCCCCCCACGCTTTTGCGGGAGGTGACGGAATTCCCCCACATCCCGCAAAAGCCCACAGGAGCCGCGCACAACTCCTGCGGGCTTTTCGACCAGGAGGGAGAAGGGACTGAAACAGCCAGTCAGTCCCTTCTCCCTCCTCAGGGAAAAGCCCCCAGCCCCCAAGAGCGGCGCGCTCTTTAAAACACACACCCCCGTAGAAAAGCCAGCAGAAGCCGCGCAGCCTTTAAAGAGTGCGCAGCTCCTGCGGGCTTTTCGACCCAGCTTGTGGGGTTGGCGGTGGGGGGAAGCGCTGCTTTCCCCCACCGCCAGCCTCAAAGCTGGGTCGGGGAGCAGCGCTAAGGCGTCGCGCGCCTTCCCGCTGCCCCCCAAGCTTGTGGGGCTGGCGGTGGGGGGAAGCGCTGCTTTCCCCCACTGCCAGCCTCAAAGAGCAGACTCTCCTGGCTTCAGCAAAAGCAAAGCGAAGCCTCCGGAGGCTTCGCGTTGCTATCGCTGAAGCCAAGGAGCCTGCATTCGCCCCATAGGACGCACACAAATTTACCCCTTCATTTTTGGAGGGGAAAAAGTGCGTCCTATAGGGCAAAAAAACAGAGGGAGCACGCCCTCTGCGCTCCGGAGGCTTTGCGTTGCTTTCGCTGAAGCCTGGAGAGTGAGAGGGGTCTGTGCGAGCAAGACTCTCCTGGCTTCAGCAAAAGGAACCTGAAGCCTGTGGAGCACAGCAGGAACTCGTGCTACGCTCTGAAGGCTTCAGGGACCTTTGAGACTGGCGATGGGGGAAAGCAGCGCTTCCCCCACCACCAGCCCCAAAGAGCAGGTCGAAAGGAACCCGAAGCCTCCGGAGCCCACCACGCTCCTGAGGCTTCGGGTTGCCTTCACTGAAGCCTGGAGAGCGAGAGGGGTCAGTGCGCACTGACCCCACTCGCTCTCCAGGCTTCCAAGGAACTCCCGCTCACCTTGACCACACAGAACACACCTTGCTTTAAAGGGGGAGAACAAGAAAAAAAAATCTCCCCCTCTCTGCGCAGCACCCCTTCAGCGAAGTGGCAGGAGAAATGGAAGGGGCTCCGTTTCCCCTACCGCTTTGCTGAAAGGGCGCTGAGCAGAGAGGGGGAGAATTCTTATCCTTGTTCTTGCCCTCTAAAACAAGGTGTGTCCTATGGTCGTGTACGTCCTATAGAGCGAAAAATACGGTATATCATCGTCTACCTAATCAGGCTATATTTTAAGGCTTTGAGAATTAACTTTCCCCCTCCAACTCAGAAAATGTATTTATAACTTACCCCCTCCTTCCTTGCAGAGAGCACTAGGTGGCCAGCGGTCAAGAGAACTTATGGAAGAACAGACAAATCAAGATTATACAGAGTTTTTGGATCTAGAGAAGACCATTCTGACTCGTCTTGGGGTACTGAAGGGGCCAGACAGATACGCCTCCAGGACCAACTAGCTGCATAAGACACCACTGTCATATTCAGGACAGCGTAACTTGTTGTAAGCAACATATTTAGAATGACACTGATCCAAAGACATGGGAGCACCTGAGGAGAGCCTTGTGTGGCTTTGAAAATTTGCAATGCAGGAGCACCTGAGGAGAGCCTTGTGTGGCTTTGAAAATTTGCAATGCAGGAGAGCTCCCGCAAGCCAAAAGGACCTGCTGCTGTACTGTTCAATTTGCAGCTTGTCTTTTTTTTTACTGTAGGACTGTTGAAAATGCCCCCCTCCCCAATATGGTTGTAGGTGCTGTTCCTCCATACCTCTACACTATGTATCATAATAAATATACAGGTAAGCAACATTTTCACACATGGCTAAAGGTGCGTATTGACAATAAAATAATAATTGGTTTTGCATTTGAGATTAATTAGAACCTGTAGCGCCTTAATGCAAATATTAAAAACAACACTATGTTAATATGTATGCCCATTAAGTGCCCTGGAATACAGCATAATATGGAAACAGCAGCAACGCCAGGAAGCATCGCGTGCAATCATTTCAGACATCTGGAAGTGCACACAAACATCAGGCTTCTTTCCAGATCTACTACATATTCAGTCGTTATCACATAACATTCTCTGTGTATGCTAACAGCTGGCCTCAGCAACACTTCAGTTTTCAAAGTGATTAAGGATGATTTAGGCCAGAGCTTTTCCAAACTTTTCACATTGGTGATACGCTTTTTAGACCTGCATCATTTCGCGACAACAGTAATTCAGTTTTACTAGCGAACTGGAGGTTAAACAAATGCTGCTGAATGAAAAAAAAGGGTGCCGCAACAGCCATGACTTAACGATTAACAGTAAGCAACCAGCCACACAAAAGTCAGCGGTTGCTACAACCCCTCCACAAACACATCATCTCCCCATGTAGCCAAGCAAGAGGCATAATTACCATTCAAACTCACCTGCAGTCACTGTGCCATCAGCTTGTTTATTTACATAGTTCTTCTGTCCAATACACATTCTCAACATAGGAACGTCAGGATGCACAAACTGCAATAGTAAAAAGATTTGTGTTGAAGGGAGCACCTTTCCCTTGACACACAAAAGCAGGTCACTGGCTGCTTGTGCTGCAGCAGGAGAGCAGCTTTCCCCCTGGAGGAGTTAAACAACAGCTTGACTATTTACCTGTGCAAATGAACAGCAGCTGATTAATATTAATGTCGCTCTCTTATCGGTTGGGGTGACATTTTTCATCCTGCAGTACTCTGCCTATTGCTATGTTACCAGGTCAGGTGCCATCAGAGACCATTAGGCAGAAATGAAAGGCTTCAGAGAAGGGCAGGTTAGACTCTTAAGAGGGTGAATCCACACTTTCCACAGCCTGCTGTGGTAGCAGAGGCTCCTGTCAGACAAGTGTCCACACGGCCAGGGCAGAAAGTGGAAAGACCCATGGAGACAGTTTGCAAAGCGACTCTTACTGGTCTGCAATATTCACTGCTCCTGTCTAGCTTTGATCAGAGAAAATAACAATTACCGTTGGGAATCAGAGTTGGAAGAGACCTCAAGGGCCAGGTAATCCAACTCCCTGCATTGCAGGAATCTCCACTAAAGCATCCATGACAGACGGCCTTCCAGCCTCTGTTTAAAAGCCACCAATGAAAGGGAGTCCCCAACTTCCCAAGGGAGACCATTCCACTGCCAAACAGCTCTTCCCCTCAGAAAGTTCTTCCTGATGTTTAGTCAGAATCTCCTTCCTTGTAACTTGAATCCATTGGTTCGAGTCCTACCTTCCGGAGCAGGAGAAGACAAGCTTGCTCCACCTTCCATGTGAAAGCCCTTTAGATATCTGAAGATGGCCGTAGTAGATGCTAATCTGCTTGGGGCACAGGAAAGTGATAATCAGAAGCTGGGAAGAAAACATTTTTTTAAAAAAAGTAACAGAAGGTCTAACAGAATACAGTGGCCAAAGACCATTTTAGGTCTCCGTCCTCCTTTTCTCCCCAGTCCAAATGATCTTTCAGCCACCAACTCTTAGATCCTCTCTCACACACCTGGTAGCAGCATACCTTTGAATGCCAGTTGGGAGAGGGGAGGGCTCTTAAGTTCAGATCCTGCTTACAGGCTTTGTATAGGCATCTGGGTTGGCCACCGCGAGAGCAAGACAAGGTAGCCTGTTGCTCTGATTTACCAGGGCTCTTTTTATGTTCTTACACGACCCAGACTGTATGCCCAAGGCATGGTTCCAGACAGCACATTCAGATATCACTAAATGATGAACAAGTAACCCCTTAAAATATGTTTACTCACCTTTCTCTTACGCAGGCAGGCTAAAGAACAGCAAAGGTGGATCCCTGCCACTACCTTTTCAGTAAACCCTGAAGTATTTGGGTAAAGCCACAATTATATATATATTGTGAGAAACGTGCTTCAAATATCACACATGCATTCTGTGTACTAGACTAGCCCCCCTAAAACATTAGTGGCCTTGAACAACCAGATGTGTCCCAAGCTTATCAGATTTAGAGATTTGTGCTGCAAAAATCCAGAGGATCTATTTTTATACGAGAAGTTACCAGCTATTTTTAGCATACCAATGTAGCTATCTCCGCCGCCTGCCCTCCACCGCCCCCCACACCAGGGCAGTGAGGAGGGGACTGGCTGGCTCACCAAACACTAGTTTCCTTGAGTGTATTTTGCAAAATAAGCTACCAAGGCCCCCCCAAAAATGAGCTGGAAGGTTCAGCCTAGGTGAACAAACTCGGGGCCTCCATCTGAACCATATGGTGGAGGCAGGGTTAGATCAATAAACTTGTACTTGACAATGTTCCATCTGTCAGCATTCAAATATGAAAGGTGGACAGAGACAGATGGAGGCAGGTAACAAGAGGCCACAGTTCAGTAGTCTCTGTCAAATGCACCTCTCTTTATTCACGAGTAAGGAATATGGGGTGGCTGCCCTTAAGAACTGAAGAACAAAAATGCCTGCAAACAAAAACTTCACTCTTGTTGAAATTATTGCACTGCAAAAGGCTTCCACACCAAAAAAAGAGCATTTTTAAAAAGTTAATAAAAAGCACATGCACTCCTTAAACTGCAACTTTAAGAATGATCACATGAACCATTCATTTGCACTGTTGCATAAACCCAGACAAACCTGCTGAAGATGCCAAACACAGATTAGCTCTGCTGGCCTGTTTGCACCATGCTGACCCCCACCCCCTTCCGCACTCCATGCCTGCCTGCTGCAGTAGTAAATCAGCCGGATGGAAGGCAGGTAAACGATATAGGTTCACCAAGATATCCACTATTGGCTGACCTTGAATCTTCTCTTGAAAAACTGAAAATCCTAGACTCGTCTGTTAGAAGAAGATGTTCATCTTCTTTCCTAAAGCAAGCAAGCTGTAATCCTTGCATTTATTGTTGTTTGTCTGCAATCTGAATCCTAATCCTATTCTTTATGGGGGGGGGTGACTATGCCTGATTGCAATATGTACATAGAGTGGATCCTATTATATAAACTGTTACATAATATAACAAGGAACAGCTTACACAAACATATATCACCAGTTTAGGTGGCTTGAACAATCGGCAGAAAGCTGACATTTAGGTGCAGGTTTGGGGCTCTTTTGCATTCACACACTTAATCAGCTACAGATTGGGGGTGGGTGGGGGACTGCACTACCAGTCAGCAATGTATTTATGCTGGTAAAATGTAAGCTGTATTAACCAGGGTAGAATCCAAGCATTCCTCTGTTCTTAATAAGAGCAGGAAACATTTACATGCATGTCACAGAAGGTTCTAATAAAGTGAGCAAAAACCACCAAGTGGGTCATCATCACAGTTCTTAATTTCCACACATCTAATTTGTAAATCATGCAGGCACACAATCTACCTCTAAGCAGGGATGTGCTGAAGCCATTAATTTAAAACAGATTTGAAGCTATTTAATACAGGCTCTCAGATTGCATTTCAATTTAACAAATGCATCATTAAATTGTTTCCTGACAGATGATGGATTCCCATTTGGGAGACACAAGTTTTCACACAAATTTTTTATCATTTGTGCTTGTTGAAACAAGCACAGCTTTCTTTCAGTTCTAAAATAATGTGTATGGAAAAGGTGAATCTCTCCCAAATGGCCACAAACAATTGCTACAAAGAAGACAGATATAAATATATAAATACCTCTAACGTGGTGGACTTAATATTAGGCTTTCTTAAAACTAAAGTTCTTTGTTTATTTGTAATATAACAAAAACTACTGGCCAAAATGCCAAGACGACATGAAATATTGAAATTTGCTAGCAAAATTAAATTCAGACACTGCTCATACATTACTGAGTTCCACAGCCTGTTCTATGGATGGTAGAACAACCATGAACTTCCTGTCATGCAAGGCAAAGAGCAGCCATTTGGGCATCTGCCAAGCCTTGCTCTCCTGAAGAGGGTCCGTTTCCAATCCCTAGAGCTATCCCCCTTCCATGCTTGCCCTGAGCATGGTAGCAACAACAAAGGTGAGTTGCCTTGAACTCTCCCTTTAGGCCAGTGGTGAGGAACCTGTGGCAGCCTAGATGTTGTCAAGACTACAATTCCCATCATCCACAGCTAGCTTCATCAGCAGGGATGGTGGGAGCTGGAGTCCAGCAACATCTGGAAGACCACAGGTTCTGCACCCCTGCTTATAGGCAGTTGTACAGGTTAGGCCCAGTGGGAAAGTGAAAGTGAATGGCAGGTGGGCACAGAAGTTCGGGGGGCACCCTTGGAAATGGTCTGGATGAGAAGAATTTGCACATACAGTCATATGCACAATGGCCTAATTTGTGTGATTATTCCCCCTCTAACAGATATGTTGCAGCAGGGAGGTGGGGGGACGATGACGATGACAATAGAGTCCTTGTGTGCTTGTAGCTCATTAGGCCTCTGGGAAATTGATCAAATTACTCAACAACATGATGTTCTGGCTTGAGATACAATGTGGATAGACTAGAATTTTACTCATTTTCTGTTGGGAATTTGTATGTTCAAAAGCTGTTGGAAAGCTGAACATTCTGATAGCATGTCTACGTGTGCTAAAAGGGCATTGTGATTTTCACAACGCAACAAAGTAGGCTACTTCCATTCTCATTATGCAAAGGGCAAGCATGTAAAACGCAAAGCCCATTATTGAGCTAGGCTCTCTCTCTGGCCCAATTCCAATCATCTATCCACTGAGACATGAAGGCTTCGTTTGTACATCCATGTTCATTGCTAGACAACTGCAACATCAGTGGCTTTCCTGTGTGAATGAGACACCACAGACCCAAAACTACGAAACAAGGTTTTGCTACTTATTCTGATGTACAAAACTAAAGAGTTTTCCAATGTTGAAGTTCTCATTTATCTAAAACTAGTCAGCGGAACAACACAAATGCAGAAGATCAGAAGCAAGCAGATCAGACAGGCAATGAATTTTCAAAGGTAGAAATGGTAAGTTGCCTCTGGGAAGATGTTTGGAAGGAGACAATACTGTACTCCATCTCTAGGAGGGTATCCCAGAGGACCAAGATGGCAACAGAGGAGAAGGCCATAACATTAGGAGCACTTTCACACTGTGAACTTCAGTGAACAGGCAGGTCTATTATAGGAGACATATCTTCAGCTGAACTCATTCCATAACAGCAAAACATTAAACTTGGCTTGGTAGCAAATGGCAAAACATGTGCTATAACAATGCAACAATTCACCCCGTGAGCTGGAAACAAATATGTTTCTGATAAACTACCTCTGGCTGGGAAGAAATAGCACTGAAGTCGCCACTCAAATTCCTGCATGAGATTAGGCCTTCATTCTCCCTCTCAGTTGCTGAGCACATTGAACGACTAGCCCTGAAAAATATGAAGGAAAACTTATATTCACAACCACAGCAGATTCTGTGTGGGCAAATACATTTTCAAGGTATTATGTGGAATCAGAAATACATCTAACTTATCTTCAAATATTGGCAACCGGGGCTTTTTCCAGCCGGAACTCGCTGGAATTCTGTTGCGGCACCTCTCAGGTGGGCACCATTGTCAGTCTAAGAGAACGAGGAAGTTGTTCATGGTGAGTTCCTGCACCTCTTTTCCTAGAAAAATTGCACTGATGGCAACCTTTTACAAAATGCAACCGATTTTTATTCTTAATCCAGATTTTATTCAGAATTAACATTTATATTTTTAAAAATAATCCACTTCCTGTACATATATACTTTTAAAAAAAATACATCAGCTTATCAATAAATGCTTCAGCTTAAAATTTCCAAACAGTACCGTTGTTATTTAATTGCAATGACTGTATTGTGTACTGAGACACTAACGATAATAAATTAATAAAAAGGACACTGGATAAAAAGTGGAGATATTTAGGAAAAAAACGTGGCAAAAAATTCGTGCACCAAATTCGTGCATCCTATTGTAAATAAATAATAATAACAACAACAACAACAGTAGCCAGACAAAATATAGGAGGGAAACAAACAAGTTAAAATAGCATTTACACAAGGTCCATAGGCCAAGAGAGCGGCCGCTAACATAATACAGGAGAAAATGAAATCTTACAGTGTGTCATGAGTTTGCAAGATCCAAAGCACTATTTAAGAAACCTTTGCTGACTTACATTTTTAAAAGCATTTCCATTTAAAAACTTACTCATCTGCATTATTAATAATGCAGCCTTTTTTAATGAGGCAATTGGTTGTATAATTTTTATTGCTTGGGTTTTATTGCTAGACAGTGGACAGAAGTTGAGTTTTCATTTATATATTTGCATAAGACTTGCAATTGCTTTGGTTTACTACTAAGATAGCCAACATCCGAGGACAAGTTTAATAAACGTTTTGTCACATTTACCCTTCTAATGGAAGGGCTGAGGAGCTGTCAATAATACTCATTTAAGACAACTGGCAAGATATACAGTAAATTGATAGGTCTCATTTAATACTTATTTAATATTTCTGGTATGAGAGCAAATACTAAGAACTTCAAAATGCATTCAGGACCTAGATATATTATTTTTAAAAGGCACTTTCTCAGTTCACATGTCAACCTTTAAAAATAGGATGGACTTTTTTTGGGAGGGGACTACAGCCATTTTAGCATCTACTAAGCTTTCAGAACATCTAAAATATCCCACTTGAATCAATATGACTACTCTCCTTTTTAAAAAAAAACAAAAAACAGGCCATAATTCCTGATCACTGCATTTGTAGTCACGAGGACTACAGCTTCATAAACATGGTTCAGCATAGGGATCTGCACTCTTGATTTATGTTTGCTACTTGAGGCTGAACCAGAAAACATGTTCAGTCTTTAAATCCATCCCATTTTAAGTCTCATGGAGTTTTGTGTGTGTGTGCGTGTGTGTGTGTGCATCTAACTTATTCTGAACATTTGCCTTTAACAGAGCCTTTGATCATGCATGAAATACTGCTCTGTCCATCGTTTGCATCTGACTGAACTTTGGAAAGGGTTACAGGGATGTGTATTTGGGGGGCAATGTGCATTTCAAACAATATGCATATTTGTGAGCCACCACAGTGGGAAATTTGGACTCTGGGAAACAATCGTTCCCATTGCCAAAGCCTCTAGAAACTCTTAAAACGTGGAAATTGCACGATGCGACAATCACACATTATCTGGGAAAGTTACGCACTTGTACGTCTGAGAGATATCAATGTCATCTGTGGCCTTCGAACTCCTCGCAGGTATTCAGCAAGTCCCTTCTGGTCTGACCCATATCCACTGCTGCTTAGCGGGCCATTTATTTTGGCATCGCGCGACACACATTCCTTTTAGAAGTTGTGTTCATATTTAAATCTAAAACGACCCTTTCCTGAAGTACCGATGATTACAAAGGGTTTGAGACAGGCAGCCACAGCAATTGCTCTTCATAATGTCTCATAGAACTTGCCCTGCAAGGCTCTGGTTTCTTGACTTGCGGGGAGGGAAAGGGAAGGCTGGAAAGGAAGGGGAGGAATGCAGTGTCCTCCTATTTCTGACAGGCCAAGTATGCTGCCTGTAGATGCGTAAGGAGGCAGGATCTCCTATGCTATGTTCTATAGCAGGGATGGGGAACCTTCCACCTGCAGCTGAATTTAATGTGGCTCATTCCTGCTTATCAGCTGGAACAGCTTAGCAGGGGGGAAGAGAGGAAGGACAGGGAGGGCTATGGTGAACTCCCCATGCACAAGCACTGTACCCCAAATGGAGTAGATCAAGCCCAATGCTTTTTAATATATGTATATAAATATGTACACAACCAAAAAAAAGTTAGAAAAATATTTAATTTCTTTTCACTTTTAAATAATTGCTGGAAAGTGTTAATGCAGGAATACATTAATATTTGTACATTTAAACGTTTTCATATATAGCTATATAGGTATATATAAAAAGCTTTTTTTTTTCATAGCAGCCTTTGCATTGCAAGTGAATAAGGTGTCAAAATATGGTAGAAAAAAAACGATCTACCTACAGTTTGCGCTGCAAATTATCAGGTAAGCAGCAATGTTAATTCTCCCTTTCTGGGAAAACATCCTGTACCAGGGCTAAAGTTTCAGGAACAAATGAGTGCTGTTCCTGCTGTAACGTAGACAGAGATGGTGCCTTGCGTACCTTGCATAAATTGTCCAAACTTCCTAAGTGCATAGTACCTTGAAAGGGAAATGGAAATTCTGCAATCATCTCATGAAAAGTAACGTACCATTTTAAACCCAGAAGGGTCAACCCGAAACCATCCTCAACGGAGAAGAAGGAAGGGGGAGGAAAATTACAACAAAGCAATAAACAGATTGTGTAATACGAATGCACTAAGCCCACGGTGGATCAAAATCACTGCACGATGCAATGGAAATAACAGCACTGCACCCGTCTCTCTTTTGGGGAAGAAACAGGGGGTGGGGGGTGGGGAAGAGACAGCAAAAAAAGAGAGAGGAGGTATTGCAGAGGGAAATTACTTATCAGTAACTGATGTTGAGCTTGTTTTTATTGAGTTCCCGTTCCAGGTTTCCTATCAGAGTATCAATGCTTTCCTGCAGATCTTTGAGGTTTACTCTGTGGTTCCCTGCAGAATCCATGGCTTGCACCGTCAAATAGGCCTGAAAAGTGTGTTCTTTGGACATGCAATGGGGCCGTTCGGCGAGCTTCTCCGAGCCATCCACTCTGCCACCGTCATCGCCACTTTCGGCATCTTCCGAAGGAACATCATCATAGTCTGCTTCGTTCAGGGCCTCCTTGGGGCTGACGAAGTAGCTCTCCCCACAGCCACTCCAGTCTCCGGCATAGCGGTTGCTTGAAGGGCTATCCAGTCTGGCTGGCCTGGACCTGAGGATACCTGACATCTCAGTACTGCTCAAGTTCAACATCTGAGGCCGCTGCTTCTTAGGTCTCAAGTAATTCACAGACGACTGCTGCTCAGTCAATGCAGATTCTTTGACGGCTGAATGTTGCACTAAGACAAACAGCAGTTTTAAGACATGTTAGCTGAACGGTGTATATGACAAGAAACCAACAGTGTTAACATTTGCATTATTTCTCTCTATTTCTCTACAATTGGAACATGCATGTATGCATGCACACTTAACAGCCAAAACATTCTACTACTGAGGAAGTGGAGCTAGCTAGTAATCCTATATTAGGAGGGGGAAGCCTGGGAGAAAACGTTCCATCTCAAAACTATCATGCCTTAGTCCGCCTGCAACCGCAGGAGTCGGTTAAATTTTCTAAGCGCCTCAATGAACTCTGCAAGTTAATCACAAACCCGCAAACGCAACGCAGTTCAAGTGAGGGCTGGGCTTTCATCTGCCATCCACATTCAGCTGTGTAAGACAAAAGCAAGGCCCGGCAAGTGTTAAAACAGCTTGCAAATATAGCCACCACTCTAGAAAGCTGACCATTTTGGATCCAAGTGTGTGCAAAGCCAGCCGAAGCTTTTCAAAGGTTCCTTTCCCCCCCACCTCTAAGCAGCCATATACTCCAGCTCAAAGACGGTGGTGGGGAATACATGCAGCACACATCTGACAATTTTTGTTACCTGAACTCATGGATCTACACCCCAAGAAACTAAGTCTCCTCTGGTTACCGGCTCCCTATGGTTAAATAGTACAAATGTTTTATTGACAGCTGATGGCTGAATATTTCAACTGTAAAATATCTTTATCCCATGGTGCTTCTACCATCATGCCATTTTTGTTCAATTTTAGCTGTTTGCTGGCTGCAATATGGAACATGAAAGGGGCGTAATTCCTCCCCCAAATGCTTAAATACTTGCTAAGGTTAGGGCTGGGCGATATATCGTCCAAATCTGATGTCCATATCGTGATATTGGTTTCATAATTGGTAATTATAATGTGCATGCGCACGTGTGCTATACAAAAATCACGATGCGGGGGAAACATGAAGCCAGCCAATGTCTCTACATAGCTCCATCCTTATTTCACACATTGTGATATGTTGGTATATTGTGAGGTTTAGCTGGCGATATATAACACGATGTTGAAAACCAGGTAACGCCCTGGTGTGGTTAAAGGATGAGGGAGAAGGAAAGGCTATCAACAGAGAACTATGGAAAAAATGTAGGTTGTCATGATCCAGAAGAAACTGAGGGGACCTGGTAGCAGTGCTTGAATCTGGGACTGGGGTGAGTGAGGGGGAAAGCGGGCCTGTCGTCACCACATTTTGTGACAGGGGCCGACTTCCCATCTTCTGTATTTAGAAGTCTACAGGAGTGGGGCACCGTGATTTGGAGAAAACTGATGAAAGTCTGGGGTGGGCCTTGTGGATTTCATGAGAGGCCTCCGCTACCTTTCCCCTCACAGTTCAAGCACTGAGTAGGATAGACTAATCCAAGTCTGGGGAAACATCTTATTTAGGCATGAAGATGGAAGATAACTGGGCTAAGAAAAAGGGGAGGATGGGATCATGCATGGCAGGGCGGACATATGAAAGGGGAAAGGGAGAGAGTTAGACCTTATGCTTTGACAGTTTGATAGACAGAAGGGGTTTTATTGCATTTCATACTTAAAAACTACAGTTTGAGCCTCTCACATGGCATGTGTGTCAGATATGATTCTTGCTAATATGGGAAAGGATGCAGACGTTAACGTGACAGAACATTCTAGCAAGGGTAGGTTTGGCAACTGTATTACAGAAAGCCAGTGTTTTTTGAACTAGTTTCTCCAACATCCCACACTGAAAAAAGAAGACAAATGAACACACAGGGGCCATCTCCCCATAGATACAGTACATGGCCAGATAGTCCAAAGGCCTTTGCATCTGTGGCATGCCATGAAATTTTTTGTACAGGAAGAGTTAGGGCCAGAGGCGCCAGCTTGCCAGGGCGATGGGGTGACATCGCACACATGACGTCTTGATGTCCTGATGTCACACACATGGGCGTCACGTCTTCCTCCCTAACCTGGACAGAAGCTTCCAGGGAAGGAGGTGCCAGGGCTCTGACAGGATGCTGGAGTCCTGCCTGTTTCCCAAAGCTGGGAATTAAAAAACAAACAAACCCCACAACAAAGCGACAATTCTGCAAAAGCTGCTCCTTCAGCCAGATGACTTAGTGGAGTCAAAGCAGAGTGATGCTGGCAGTTGTGTTCATTGTGCTCTGCAAACAGCAGAATGGTCTCTGCCAGAGCATTCCGTATTGTCTGCAGAATCAAGTTGCCAACCAAGGAGCCTTTTCAGACGATTTCCAGATGGTCTAATTCAGACACAGTTCAGGCCTATAGTTGGTCAATCTGAAGGGCTTGACTAGGAGATGGAGGACTTTAGTGAGGAAAGCAACAAGGGACTGAAAAATCTGTAGTAGTTTTCTGGATTGGGGCATGGAGAGGATCCCTCCTCCCTTCAAGTTCTCTGAAGATGAATATTCTCTGTGCCTCTCGTATTTTTGAGAGAAATGGTGAGTTCCATGAAAAAAGGGGGGGGGAATGTTTCCACTGATGAAATATTGATGTTGACTTGTGTTGAAAGTACGTGCTCCTTGGCTTTGCAAGACAAGGTCAGATTCTTTGTAGGGTCACCAGATTACAAGAGCGCACTGCTGTGATCCTCAGCCACGTAAGTCACTGAAAACCACCACAGAAGTCACCACCAAGAGGCTCAAAAGTACAACCATAGAGGTCAAAAGTAAAAAAGCAGGACATGTTACCTGCACAAAAATGGCAAACAGGAGATTCTCTCTTTTTTTAAAAGTAAAAATTGCAGACACAGCATTTGCAGTAGTATGTGAAGAGTCAAATCCTGCCCATAAACAGCACACTACAAGCTGAGAGCCCCCTGCAAAAGCAAGCCTTATTGGTGGGGATATGTCTTGTTATTAGTCTTTAACAATTCGGCTTTTTTTCTTTAAGAAACCGGGAGTGGGGAGAACTCTCCGCAGCAACAAAAGCTCTTCTGTTTAGGCTTTGCTCTCTTAAGGCAAAAGGGTCATGTGTTAAACCTTAAGTGCCAGCGTTGTTGAGCTTTCCTTCTGAACAAGGAGCATGTGTTTTCCATTTAAAAATTAAAAAAAAACCATGAGGAGCACAAACACGGTTATCTAGTTTTTCAAATCCATTGGAGGCGTAAATCTTTGAGAGCCCAAGCTCTGGGCTCTGGCTCCTTCGTTGGAACAGAGCTCACTCCACAATGTTTAATTAAATTCTTGAAGAGCCGAAAGACATGCCTCTACAAGGAGTTTTTGCAATCCTCTAATTTGTTCCATGGTTAGCTTCCTTGACAATAATCGCACACACAAAAAAATTATAAGGCAAAGCAGTCTCCATACATTCTGTACGTTTATAACTCTGACATTCAAATCAGAGATTCATAAATCCTAGGCAACCAGCCACAGCCCTCATTTCCTGGGCAAACATGAGGATTTGTCCAATTACGGAGACTATCTCAGCTTCCACTGGCAGCCCGGCCACACCATGGTTGCAACGAACAGACCTTGAAAGCAAGGCTGCAAGCTATAGCTAGCATTATACATGTGACCACCAGAAGATGCTGTTGCTTAGGAGCAGACACATTACTCTGAAGGCACTTTCTTCTTTCAGCCTGGCCTGCCACAGCAGTTCGGGGAGTAGCTGCCTTGAGAGGTTTCCGTTGTACCCATTGTGGGAAAGGTGGTGAACGAACTTGTACAGCAACTAGGGCGTTGCAGAAGCTCTCAGTGGCAAGGAAAGACAAAAGCAAGAGCACCGAGGAACAGGGACCCATTTGGGGGGATGCTCCTTGCACTTACAGAGCAGCAAACAGGGGACTTGCACTTATAGAGCAGCTCAGGGGACAGCATCAACAATGGTATTTCGTGGACAGCAAGTGAGCGCTTCTAAATGTTTGGGGTCAGTTAAATATTTTTGTCTTCATTGCATTCGTGCAATAGTCTCCTCTGCCCCCAATTCAGCGAAATTTAATTGCAGATCTGCACTGCGTCCTGCTTGCTGGACTCACAGAATTGTAGAGTTGAAAGGGACCCTGAGGATCAACTAAGTCCAACCCCCCGCAATGCAGGAATATGCAGCTATCCCATATGGGGATCAAACCTGCAACCTTGGCGTTATCAGCACCACCCTCTCTAACCAACTGAGAATGTTAGCACATAACTCCAGACAGCTACGTTGCTATGCACTGGGTGGATCAACCGGTGGATGAAGAATATTCCACATTACTGAACAGATTGGAAATGGAGATATTGTTGCTGCATAAACACTGGAAGGCCATAAATATCCATTTCTAAGAGTGGGCTGGGCTTTCAGTACATTACCAATCGACAACCTGTAGCACAGTGAAGCTAGGGTTCTGCCCTGAATACCCAATCTTTCGTACCATCAGGATTTGATGGTAGAAACTGGAATGGTAGGAGATGGAAACAATTTCTCAATGTGGTCTAGGCACCCAAAAGGCAGTTGAAGCAGACTTGTCCCATCCACTCTATGGTCCATATCAGCAACCAGACTGGAACCAGTGGGCAGCACAGGGGAACCCTCCATCTCCTTAGGGAAGCTTCAGATGACTCATCTGATCTGGCAAGTGATGCCACAAACCTATCGTGAAATGAGTTTCACTTGATCACTGCTGACCTTAACAGTTGTCATTAACCAGTGTTAGGATCAAGCCTTCTTAAGTGTGGCTCATTCAAAACTACAAAAAGGCAGGCAATCGAAAACACACTTATGCAGAACATGAGACAGTCCTCCCTGTGCACAGCCTTTCACAGACTTGCCTACTTAATCTGCTGCGATCATCAGCTTTATTCCTGACTACTGAAGCAGTTCTGCTTGAAATGGGATTAAGAGCTTGATATCAAATATTTCTGGCTCCGGAAAGCATTCTGGAAATATTCCTAAGGCATAAGTTATTTGCTGAGGCACCAGTAATCGGTGATGGAGAAAAATACTGAGAGTGTGTGTCTTTTGCTGCAACCACCAGAACTATATGGTGATGATGAGCATTCTGAAATATCACAAGCAAACTCTGGCTTCATACCTAAAATGGCATTTTTTTGCTATGCTATACATTGGGGGTGGTGGGGGGAAGGAACACTTCAACATTCATATTCTATTTATCCACTTCCTTTCCTCTAGTTGGCATGCCAAAAAATAAAATAACCACCACCAATTTTTATTTAAACCCTTTTGCATCACCTTTCTCAAATAAACTCAAGAATAATATACAATAAATAAGTGAATACATAAAAATAAAGGTAAGAACATTTCAACTTCCCCATAGCACAGTTACTGACCTTAGGGTGGCCATTCTCAAGCAAAGGAACTTCAGGTGGGAAACTCCAGCTTGACGCCTGCTGAATTACAACTTATCAAGAAGTTTGGTCCTATCACCAGCAGCTTGAATCAAGGTAACTCCACTATAGGTGTGATTAGCTGACTCATGCCTGGACTGTGTATTTGTGTTACCATCAACACTGCTTTGTGAATGGTCCTTGTTACGACATTACATACATTTCGACTTTAATGTAATTGTCACACTATGTAATTTGTGATTTTCATTTGCCCCTGACCTCATTGCTTATAATACTGTTTCCTCCTCTACAACAGGGGTGTGTACATACATATATACACACATATATGTACCTATACTTGCCCATTTAGGGTAATGCGTCATGCATCAGATGAAGTGGTCCCTACTCTGCAAAAGCTAAGCCGTAATAAATGGGCTAAGACACTCTGGTTTGTTTGGTTTTTTGCAGCAACAGACTAAGACTGCAATCCAAATCTGTCACAGCTGCTGCTACTGAGGCCCTGCAGGCTGCATCAGGCTTTTTGCTGGCCAGTGTCGGCCCTGAGAGCAGCCTGGGCTCTAGCGGGGTTGGCTCAACACTGCCCTGCCCTTGGAATGCCCCATTTGAGGGCTATCCACTGGGCAAACCGGTGGGGAACCAGCTGAGTTGGCAGAAGTGAGCCTAGGAATGCCTCCCTCCTCAGCCCAGCGTGGGGGTTTGGATTACAGCCCAACACAGCTCCCCCTCTGCAAATAAAGAGTTAAATTGTTTCCAGATATGCTCCTCTAAGACTTTTACCTGGCCACAGCTGGAGGAGGTAATGCAAAACCTCTATGTGTTTTTTGAAATCCAAGGCACTGGCAAGCTCTTCCGAATCTGTGAAAACTCTATTGTTGTGATTGGTGGTTTCCTGCCGCTGGCTCAGTAGCACAGGCCCAAAACACACAGCTAAGTTCTGGCATGTCATTCTGTTTACTTCATGGTACGAAGCCACCAATTTCAGATGGTCCAACAGCATCCTTAGAGTAGCCTAAGAATAAAATAAAAATTGGGTGGGGGTGGGGAATAATTTGAGTTAGTTAGCTTCAGGGTGGTGGGGGGGGGGAGAGGGTTTTTGTTTTGTTTCTAATCCTCTTGAAGAATCGGGCCTTTTCACATAGCCACAATATCGTCATTTATGCACGATGCCAACAGTCAACAGAAGATAACCTTTCGATAGTACCTTTTTGTGTGCCACGTAGAAGGGCGCAGATAACTGGTGTTTTCACAGCTGCTCTGAGTTCTGTAATTCCTTCTTCAGGAACAATTTGCCAAAGAGCCATAAACTGCAGTCCTAAGCACACTTGCTTGGAAATAAGCCTAGCTGAAAACAGTGGGATTTGCTTCCACATAAACATAGACCTGTGCTTCATCACATACTTGGGTGCATAATCAGTCAGAGATGGGCCATTTTAGTTACAGTTTCAAAAATCTTTAGTATGTTTTATGCTCACACTGCTCTTTGGAAGCATTGTAAAACACATTCAGTCTCAAAGTGAAGCTTTAGCTATCAAGGAACTGTTTTATTGGCACAGCAGCCCATAGGATTAAGGGCAGACTGCAGGGGGCTCTTTGCCTCAGCACTTGGCTCTTCAGCAGTGGGCATCGCGATAGCAAAAACCAGAGCAATAATCTACCACAGCATGCATGGTTTCCTTTTGCAGGTGTCTCCTTTTCTCCAACTGGTATCATCACATAATTTTCTCTTATGCCAACAACAGCAACATGTGAGAGTTCCACCACAGAACTCACCTAGCCAGTATCCCTCCAGGACGTTGTGGGACTACAATCATCCTTTCTGTCAGGGTGGGTGTCAGCGATAACTCACACAGTGGCAGTAAATTTAACTCTCTTCATTCAAGGAAACACGCTCCGAAGGCCAGGCCTAGTGAGCACAACAACACTTCCTGGTAGATCTTGCCCCAATGTGGCAGTTGCAAGGACTCAAGGTCCATGTCTTCCCCCAGCTCCCTAAGTCGCCTCCTCCCCCAGTTTTTCCCCAGGCAATCTGAGGCCCTGTCATCTTGCATGTCTTTGCTCCACCCTCTTCGTACTTCTTTGGGTTCTGAGAGACCAGAAGGGAGGTGAGGTGGTTGCAGCAGGAGGGTGGGCTTCAGCACCAGCCTGCCTCATCTCTGTCTCTTGGCCCCCTCTTGGATGAGGAAAGGGTAAGATGCCGGAGGAAAACATAAATATTATTTTTAAAAATAAAGCTTTGGGATTAAGTAACTCAACGTAGGGGGGGGGAAAGTTGCCCCTGTCTAGCTGCCTGAGTATAAAATGGCACAGCTGGTTCCCTTCACTGGGAAGGTTAGAATGCCCACATGTGTTGGCTGTGTGTGAAATTAATTAAGCAGCAGTCTTTCGTTAGAGGTGCTTGAAAATTACAGTGGTCCGGGGGGAAATAGTCAACACGTGGCAGCTTAGCAAGTCAATAAAATCATTGTCTCCTGATATATTCAGAACAGACACACGCATTATTGTTGACTGTCGGTTAAACATTCACAGTGTTCGGCTTTGCTCAAAATCAATGGGCCTTTCCATCATCATTGCTGAACGATTTCGCCTTTCGTTTATTTTCAGTCACTCACAGACGTCGCACCGTCTCATTCATAAACAAAATGCAGCACTTTACCGTTTTTAAATTACTATTTGAAAGCAACCACACAGCGCTTGCCAAATCTGCTTTTGCCGGCATGGGGATCTAAAAGGGGCCATGCATGCCTAAGAGAGAACTGTTGGGAGATTTGCTTTTTTATTTTCCACTGTGGAAGACAAAGCCACTGTTCAGTGTTTCCCCCCCAAAAAAAAACTGAGTTTCTCTCTTTGGTAGTGGGAACTGTGTAGAAAATAAACAAATAATTAAAAGCAGAGCTGTAGCTGCAGGTGTTGTTTGCTGCCATGTATATGTTCTTTCTTTGGCTCCCAGGCCCTCTGTTTACATGGAAATGATCTGCTAAGATGGAGCATTAAGTTGCTGTGCTTAGCAGATGATTTTAAACATCTGCAGTCTAAAGTTTGTTTTGCTCACTACCAGGGGCATGGCGACAGTAGCAGAACACAAACCTTTTTGCAGGACACTTGCAATCTATATTATCTGCAGGTTAGTTTCCTAACACACTCACACATCCATCTCTAGCACACACACACACACCCCATCCAGGCAAACAAGAAGCATTATCAGAGTTCATGGATCTATTTGAGAAGGATTTCCACACTGGAAATGGTAGGTCTGTAAGAATAGTGGTCTCTTAACAATACCCAGCACCCTTAAAAAAACGAAGGTTTTGATCATTCTAATCACTGCGGTGGAATTAAATTTCACATAGTTTAATTTCAGATTTACAGGCATCTCTCCCCATGCAGTCTAGAGAAATATGGTTGTCATGATTTCAGACTGGATGCCATTATTTAATATTGTTTAGGTTCTGTATGTCCTGGTCCTTAGGGTGGATATATTATTGAATGTTCTGTTATAGTTTAGCAATCTCTGTGGCTCCATAATAATTTGAAAGCTAATAAAAATATTTCAAAAACAAAAACAAAAAACCTAAGTTTGCCATAATTCTTTGGGAGAAGTCCTGACTGTTTAAAGTACAGTGGTGCCCCGCAAGACGAATGCCTCGCAAGACGGAAAACCCGCTAGACGAAGAGAATCGCGGAACGGAAGACGAATTTCCCTATGGGCTTGCTTCACAAGACAAAAACGTCTTGCGAGTCTCGCCATTTTTTTCTCGCTTCCCCCCCCTTTTTCTAAGCCGCTAAGCCGCTAATAGCCTTTTAGCAGCTAAGCCGCTAAGCCTTTAATAGCCGCTAAGCCGCTAAGCCGCTAATAGCGCTAATCCGCTTAGCCGCTAATGGGGTTGCTTCGCAAGATGAAAAAACCGCTAGATGAAGAGAATCGCGGAACGGATTCTTTTCGTCTTGCGAGCCACCACTGTAGCACGTTTACTGCTTTAAATTTATAGTGCAGAGGGAGCCACACAGAGAAAAGCGACTTCAGAACTACATAGTCAACTGGACCACATTCTACCTCAGCAAACAGCATGCCACTCTCAGCCTGGTTGCTAAGCAACAGCTCCACCTATCCCCTCGACTAGTTGACTTTAATACCAATAAAATTAAACCTTTAATTTGCACATGGAATGATCTCTGCTGTTGCACCTCCAGCAATGCCAACATAAATCTGGACAGAATGTCAGCTAACACTATTTAGCATCATGGAAACCCAGCAATGCAAAGAGAAAAACAGCTTAATATTGCCATGAATAAGAATGGGTTCACTAGACTGATCTAACTACCCGCTTAGCAATATTTTCAGACGCCCCTGTTGTATGATTCATGTAGTCCAACATCTTATGGAAGAGTCCATTTGTCTCAGGTCATGACGCAATCCATTTTCTTTAAAACGGATTTGGAATTTAATATGCCATCTACAACAGACCAGCAAACGATACTTACCTTCTCCACTTCTGGAAGGCAATCCAAGAGAGCCACGGTATGCTCAGAATCACCAGGGTTATTATCACATCCATTCGCTGTCATTTTCAAGGGCTTTTTCACCATGGCATCTAACACAGCTTCGTAGAGTTGTTTGGTTATCAAGGGGGAAGGCAGCTCTCTTAAATAGTCCTTGAGAACACCTTCAGAAGAGATGCAGATAAGGTGCAATGAACAAACTGCAACGACAGACGCCAGCAGGCACCTCCCTGCACACACTGTGAGCATATGTACAAAGCACAAGGGTACCACTCCCAGAGCATCCCAGAACCTCAATACATGTATGTATGAGCATATATCCCAAAGCATGTATGCATAAGCACATGTGTTACAAATGGCCCATTTTGCATATTATAAAATCCTGCAAATAATTCCAGTTCTCAGATCTTGCAATGATTTCTAATTCCGATTTTTAAACCTTCCCTCACGAATTCTGTATTCAATGTTTGCTAATGGATGGATGGCCAAAAAGAAAATAGTATCTAATAATTAAATAATACGGGGAAGCTGTCACAACACTATAACACTTTCCATTTCAACGTCCGTTGAGTTATGCCATATAGAATTCCAATAATCTTAGAACTGGGCATTCAGGGTAGAATGCAATGACTGGGACATTTTCCTTTTCTGCATATTCTGTTTTCCCATTTTGCTTTATCCTCTTTGATAGTGCAATACTCTTATGGAGCATGGGAGATACCTTATACTGAGTCCATGTCTTTAGTGTTGTCTACAATGATTTGCAGTGGATCTCTAGAGGACATTCCTAGCCCTAGTGAGGGATGCCACTGACTGAACTCAGGGACTTCTCCATGCAAAACCAATGTTCTACTCCCCTGAGCTATGGCCCTTTCAAGGCTACCATTCACCATATCAGGAAATCTTGTAGTACCAGTTCTTGAATACTGGCAGAAGAAAAAGTACTGTGTTAACTTTACCTTTGTGATGCTATTCAAAGCCCAGAACTGGCGCTCAAACAAAAACCACACCCTAGGGAGAGAAATCTTTACAGCCTGAAGCAGCTGCTCAAACCTAAAGCAGCAAAATGAGGATCAGCCAGGCTGAAGGGAAGAAAATGAAGCTTGCGTTTAGAACTTTTTACACTGTGGTTGGGTCTATACCCACAGAAGAACAAGGTGGCAGAATGGATTATATAGTGCTTCAAGCTAGAAGTGGAGCATGCTGCTTTTAAGCACTCCTCTACCGAACTCCACCACCCCCTAGAAAAACCCAAACACATACCTCCATGGAAATATGAAAGTAAATCATTGAGGAGAAGAGTTCTAGTCTACCTTTTTGCCTACTGTGCTGATCAGCTTGAAGCAAGCTCTCAACACACTGGAGCATTCAAAAATTTAATTCCCCCCGTTTCTAGCAATCTCTAGTCTGAAACGATACCACCGATTCTACCACCTCGTCCTGTTGCATCTGTAGACTGGACCTATGATGCCATCTTCCACAGGAGTGTGGAATGTGTTGTGGTTGTGGAAGAGAAACTGCATCAAGGAGCCAGCAGACATTTCACCCGCAAACCCAAAATAGAGGGTTTTGGGGGTTTGTGTTTTTTTAGCAACTTCTGAATTCCTCTGCTACAATTTAGAATGGCTTGTTGTCTGTAGGTCTCTTTACTCTTGTTAGTCAAGTGTACAGAGTTTTAAATGTGGTGATGGGTGCTGCAGGGATGTGCACTGCGGTTGCCATAGCTTCTGCAACAGGGACCTTTCACTATGTACATCACACAGTTTCCACATGTTCGACTGCTCCCCACTGAGTAAGCTTTGGCAGACACCGTGGAGGCAGGAGAAGCCATGCAATACTGGAAAAAGAGATAAGCAATCAACCCTACCCTTGCCCTCTCGTCACATAAGTAGCAAGCCAAACACCAGCAATATTTTATCACACTAAGTTTCCCCCCCTTCTAATGCAAAGCCACCACAGGAAACGTAGAATGATGAGCGCAAATGCTAATTTCAATATAACAGGTACTTGTGCAAAAATAAATCTGGATGCCAAATACATAGCATCACATCCCTGTGCAAGAGTATTTCATACTAGCAGAAATACCTGGCATTTCAAGAGTAATTTCATACTAGGAGAAATACCTAGCATCGCTTGAATTTTTTTAAATTTATTTTAAAAAAATAATCAGTGTAGTTTTAAAATCAGTAGTTAAAATAAGCACACTTTTGAAAGGTTCAGTCAACCATCTTGCTTGAAAATGGTGTCCAAAGATACAAAAAAAAATAAATCTGCTCCTTTATCACAGGAACCAACCAGCATGCAAAATCTGGTTATGGTATCTTGAGTTGTGTCCAAATGCCAAGCGAACAGAGGAAGACAAACAACTTTCCAAGATAGATAGTGAGATCTCAGACACTTTGTATAGTTTGCTTTGTAGATCATGTAACCTTATTCATTTCAGGCCCCAACATTATGCTTTGAGAAACTAAAGTCAAGCAGTCAAGTTAAAACAAACTGCATCCCCAACACAAAATTCTGCAACCATACAAGCTTTAAAACTACTCCCTCCCCTTTTTAGGAATACCCCAAATGGCAACCAATATATTTGTTTTGTGCTACCAAGTATCTAGGCTCAGAAATCCAAGCACCTAACTTTATAAACTCTTAAAATGGCAGCTCAGTTGTTTTAATTGGGGGGTGGGGCGAATGCAGTGGTGCACGGGACCTTTTTTGTATTGTTCATAACTCATGGCCCAACTAGGTAAGCACAGTCTGCTCTTCAATAAATAGCACCATTTAATGCAGAATGAAAACAAAGAGAACTGAAAATAGGAAGCAGAGATACCAGTTTAAGTATCTGCCAAATAAAGGCCTTGCTAATCCTCGAACCATGACAGAAATACCACTGCTGAGTGTTCCTTAACAAAGCAAGACTTGTTGCAAGCCTCAGTGTGCCTACCACAAATCCTGCCCTATGACCCAACTGTAATGTGAACTGTGTTAATTGAAGACTTTGTTAAGAGCAAAAATCCTTAAGAGTAAAGTGAGGGATTCTATTCTCACTCTTTGTTTGGGGAAGGGGGGGCGCGCTGCTGAAAAAGCCCTAAAGACTACATAATTTTGATGTCAAGGAATATTGGAACCAGCCAGAATGTAAAGGCTAATTGTTTAATCACAACATGACACTAAACAGCTCTTTATGAATTCCACAGCTCCTAAGAGGCCCATCTGACGCAAGAGCCTTCAAACCTTGCTAGTAAGTGAGGAGGGTTTGATGGTTACTTTGCAAGCCAAAGGGATGCATTTCACACAATTATTTCAAGTCTAGGTAGGCCTAAATTTACAACCTCGACAAGCAGTGGAACCAAATAGAAACTGGTCTTTGTAAATCATGGTTTGGGAATATAGTGAAACAGGGTGGGGTGGAGATATCAAATTGTCACCAGAATGGTTTTAAAAAAAAGTTTTGCAGACAGCTCCTATGCAACTGATAGGAAAGGAATCTGTCCTGTATTTTAAACACATTCAGTTACAGAGGCACCACTTGCAATGTCTATTCATAGCATCAGCATTGAGCTATGCAACAGAGTGACCTGGCATTTCCTTCTCAAAACACTTTCTCCTGCTTAATTCCTGAACAGAATAACTTGTGAGCCCTCTGACCCACATCCCCTTTCCAAATCCTTTCACTAGCTGAGCTCTGTAAGAGACGGCAGTTATTTTTATGGAGTTGCCTCTCCTGACAGCTGCGTTTTTCTTGATACACCACTGTCCACACAGAACTAATTTAGGCAGCAAGCAGAAAACACACACCTCCCCCAATCCACCTCATTAATTTCCCATTTTTCTGACCCACTGAACTGTTAAGCGTATGACATGCTTTACTCCAAGATGAGAATTCACATGGCTGGAAGCAGAAATGATGCGGCAATGTCAGAAACCAACCAGGATCCAAATCCAGCAGAACACATTATTCTAAATCACATGTGCATTTAATTGCTTGCCAGCCAGAGGAGCATTCCTCAGTTGAGGTTTAATAATTAAATGCACATTCCTTGACCAACTGGAGTTTTCAAAGTAAAAGAGTGCCTTTTAGAGTCCTAGGGACATCCCACAGTTAATTAAAAAGTGGGAATGGGGGGAGCAGCAACAAATACGAATCAGCTTTTAAAAGAACTACGATTTATGCTGAGGTTTCAACAAAATACTTTTAACAAGAACAATGTGTTTTATCATACACATGTACACATCAGCCTCAAAATAATAAATGTTAAGAACTAAAACCGTCCTCAATCCCAGCCGTGAAATTGCACCCATTTCACTGATACACCGTTTGTACCATCCAAATCAGTAAATAAAAAGGTAAAGGTACCCCCCGTACCCTGCCCGTACGGGCCAGTCTTGCCAGACTCTAGGGTTGTGCACTCATCTCACTCTAGAGGCCGGGGGCCAGCGCTGTCTGCAGACACTTCCGGGTCACGTGGCCAGCGTGACAAGCTGCATCTGGCGAGCCAGCGCAGCACACGGAACGCCGTTTACCTTCCCGCTGGTAAGCGGTCCCTATTTATCTACTTGCACCCGGGGGTGCTTTCGAACTGCTAGGTTGGCAGGCGCTGGGAACAAATGAAAGCTCATATTCTTATGAGTGAAAGCTCATATTCTTATGAACTCAACAACAACACACACATCTTACCAGCCTTGCATTGGGCTTTAAAAACTAACCATTCAGCAGTCACACACTCAACTTGATCCAGGCATTATTGGAATTTGTCATTAGCTGGGGAACAGTGTTTTTTCGTTTGGCTTTTTTAAAAAGGGCTGCTACCAAAATGAAGGATACAGGCACTGCAATGTTTGCTGGAGAGTTGAAGTACAATCGTTCCTTAGTTCTTGAACAGAATAACCATTTGAAAACCAAGGCACGGCTTCCGATTAGCTGCAGGAGCGTCCTGCAGCCAATCAGAAGCCACGGCAGACGTTCGGCTTCTGAAAATGGTTCAAAACTGGAACACGCACTTCCGGGTTTCGATCGTTTGGGAGCCAAGGCATTTGAGATCTAAAGTATGACTGTAACTGGAATTTTCACCAATGCTCAAAAACAAAACCACATTTAAATGTAAGATATAATCATGCTATGGATGCTACCCTAGATGGCTATTTTAAAAGAAGCATTATACCAGGGGTAGGGAACCTGTGGACCCCACCCCAGATGTTGTTGTACTACAACTTCCATCATCTCCGACCACTGTTCATGCATTCCACGTTTTAGACAGATTAATGCAGGATAGGTCTATGAGCAGCTGTTTGCCATGATTGCTAAAGGAAACCTCCACGTTACAAGGTAGTGTATCTCTGTATACTAGATACTGGGGAAACGCAACAGGCAAGACCTACTGATTTCTTGCCCTCCTTGCAAGCTTCTGAGAGACCTCTGCCTGACTTCTTCTAAGTTCTCATTACTGCGCAGTGCTACAAAGCCTAGCCTGTGCACACAAATGAAAGCAGAGCAGCCGCAGCAGCTCAAATCAAGAGAGACAAGATTGAAAGAGACATTCTATTCTCAAAACGGCTGTAATTCAGATGGCGTTGCTTGAAACTGTCCATCCCACAGGAAATTCCACACTTGAGGCTCGCTGTCATCCAAGATGGAAAAGGAGCACAAAGAGGAATTTTCCATAAAAATGAATCCATGAGCATTTTTATTCAGCTGAGGGGAAAGCTTAATCAGAGATTTCAAGAGATGAATCAAGACAGTCCAAGCAAGGTATTCAGATTCATCTACACCAGAGGTGATGCTCAGAATTGCTATATTTTATTTCAGCAATTTTTGCTGAACTAATAATGGACAGGTGCAGCACTGCCTAGACACTTTAGTCAAACAGGCCCTAGTAAATACACACTTTGAACCTTGCGGGGCTAACACTTGGAGGTTGAACTGAAGTAGCAAGATGATGTGTGAGGAAAGGGTTAAGGGCTCATTCCCTCCCCCCCTCACTTCTCTGACCGAAATTCCCCTCCAGTTTGCTCTTTTAAACAAGACTGTTACAGGCACCAGCATGAAGTGTGCAGTGAGACCCCACCCCCCAAGATAAGCAATTTCGATGTCATAAAAGTTGTCCTTGTTGCTAAATCCTAAAGCAGCTCTAAAATCTCCTCCAGTATTCCCATGGCTTCATGACCCCTGAAAACTACCTGGGGAGGACAATTCCAGCAGCAAAATAAGTCAAAATATATTAATTTTGTTCTACCCTAAGCCAAACTTGAAGGACAATCTGAGCAATTCTGTTTGATACTACATTCTCCAAGACATGTCCATTTTGGATCCTGGGTGGGAGTAGGCCTTGGCAAATAACAAGATGAAATAGCTGTAAGATATAACCTTCATGTCCCCAAACCCAGCCAAAAAATAACACCCAGGATTGTTCTGATGGCATAATCCTGCCCTATGCATGGTCAGCATAAAATGGAGCTCTCTTCCTCCCCTTTCTCAGCTGGCTCTTACTGGTCAGGGAAGTTAGAGGGTTCTGTTGATTATGTCCTGAGCATTTCTGCTTTCTTAAAAAAACAAAACAAAAAGCATACTCTTTATTTTAAAAACGTCAGCTTCATCCCTGCCTTACACAGCCAATGCAACTACTTACTCTGGGCATTTTCCCATTTCTGTTGTAAAGCATACATACACAGAATGTTGTGACAAAAGCTCTTTCTCATCAGATAAATGGGAACCAGCCCTGATCAGGAATCCCTAAGGAGATGAGCACTGAGGAACTGTCCAAGCTGAAGACCCAAAATTCCACGAAAGCTCAACACTTACTTCCAGGTTTGTGAATGTTTTTTGGAAGCCGAACATCCGACACAGCTTCCACGGCTTTCGATTGAGCGCAGGAAGCACCTGCAGCCAATCAGAAGCCACGCCTTGGTTTCCGAATGGTTCCGGGAGTTGAACAAACTTCCGGAACGGATTAAGTTTGACAACCAAGGTACCGCTGTAATGATATCTATGGCTCCACTTGTAGACTACCGAAATGAAAATAATTTTCACATTGACATTGACAGACATTTTAAGCATATTCTTCCTTTTTTCAAAAAACAAACAAACAAGGTTTTTAATTTTATTTACCTGTTATCACATTTATATCTGGGTACTGGGTTTCACAGAGGGTAACTGCTTTGCTATCGTTCTCAAATGCCTCACGAAGCTCTTTCTTGACGGCTGCTGAGCCACATAAACGGTACAGGCCTACAACCTAGAAGCAAAATCATAACCTTACAACATGGCACGGGTTTGCCACCTAAGGAATACGAAGGTTGTAAGTTAAATACAAAGCACAAACACAGTTTTCAGTAAGCCCAGTAGAAGCATCAAGATATTCATGCAAGATCCCCAAAGATGCTGAGAGACATGCAGATTGTATCATTGGCACGCAGTACGAGTTTTTCGCTAGAAAAAGACATAACGGTTATCAATATTCTACGGAGTACTCTGCCAGAGATATAACGAAATAAATTAATATTGTTGGCATCCATCTGTCTCGGGAGACAATGGAGGGGTGTGCCTTTGGGGGTGGAGTCAAACTGTTGGAAGCCTGGAAATTAGTATCAGGTGATAAAATAAGCTGAAATCACAAAGGACATCAGTTCGTTTCTTTGGAGGCAATGAATGCTTTCTACATAGAGAGATAGCCAGCCAGTAGGCAAAATCGTCTTTAGGCTATATGTAGCAAAGTTGTTTAGAAAATTGCCCCAAAGGCTCCTTTATTAGGAACCCATAAAAGGCTTAATAAATAAGCCACAGGGAGAGAAATCTCTCTCTCTCTCTCCACTCTTGGAAATTCAATAATCCCATTATGACCAGAGGACGCAATAACCTCTGATAGCAATTACATGCTCTCAGCTTATCATGTGATGACTGTAATTCCCATAAAAGCAATAGAACATTTAAACTTGCCCTGTGAGGAATCTATCCATCAAAACTGCTTACTACAACTTCATCTTCCACACTGGGACAGTAAAAACTAGCTGTTTTGTTTGTTCAGTTTTGTTTAGATTAGCACAAAAAGCCCCCAATTAATTTCACTACCACCATATTCCAGGTTTGGAAGTTCCTGAGGCCAGAGGAAACTTAGACCCACAATAGCTTTGTTGGTGTTCCAGAAGGCACAGACTGCTTTTACCCCTCCACTTCTTGTATCATAAAAACGCATCATGTCTCCATGACTGCAAAGAGCAGGAGAGAGCAGCCTTCATCCCTCTGCAATGCAGGTGTACTACCCCAAACTAAAGAAGTGAAGGATATGGTGCATCCAACAAAGACAACATTATTTATAGCAAAAGTAAATAAATAAGGGTAATGCTCTAAGCAGCAAAAATTAAATGCAGAAGAATGCAGTGGTTGTTATTTTTAATTAACTCTACCTGGCAGCCTCTTTTTTCAATCTCTATAATGCACTTCTTCATCAACAGGGGCACCATCAAGCCTACGTTTTCCTTCTCCACAACCTTCCGAGCATCTACTCCAAACATTACCGGTTCTCTTTCTCCATCTAGTCCATTGAGAGAATTCTCCCACTGCTCTAGGAGGGTCAGCTTGACATAAATAATACCTCGGGGCTCCAGCTTTACTGCCAACTGATGGGTCTTCGTCACCCGAAAAAGAGCAGGGAGGACCACCGTCCCATGGCAGCAGACCCGGTTTTTCCTTGGTGTGGGCTCCCAGCTGAAGACCACCAATTTCAAATGCTGGGCGTTCTCTATTTCTATGTTGAAAGTGTGATCCATGTCCAAAAAGGTCGTCCTGCAGGTCAGCAAGGCAGTCCTCGCTTTGTTTACCGAATCTACCTGAATGGCGCAGAAGACGTCTCTGGAGTCCATCCTTGGCGGTTTCAGATCCTCCGCGCCATAGAAATGGATGCTCATGAGTCCAGATATGTACTGGGAACATTTAGGTTGGTCGGAGAAACTGTAGTGCCTGAAAGCGTCAATGTCTATTTCCGCCTTACTACCGTTGCTGCTTGGGAATGCTTCCTTTCCTCCTTTCCCAGCCCGGCTTTCCAGGCCGTGCTTCCCTGATTTTGTTATAAGCTCAGGAGAGTCTCCGTCGCTGAGGTAGCCCCCTTTGCTAGAGGATTTCGAATTGCCACCGCTTTTCTTTTTGTAGTTGTGCTGAGAGGACACGCTGCTGTCAAGATGGTACCGGCTTATGACGTTCCTGCTAGCTGCTGCCGTGATATTCCCGGAAGAAGGTAGCGACCCATGACCTATGACCTGGCAGTTATTCTTAAGCAACGAAGAATTGTCCGTGCTACTATGGCTTGAATTTCCCTTGACACTCAGCTTCCTGCTCAGCTCTGGCAATTTTTTCATTTTCATGGAAAGTTTCCTCACCGTTCTCGGGGATTTTATTTTGTCAGGGAAGGACCAGTTTATCGAACCACCTTTCTTCAAAGGGTTAGGACTCGGAGGAGAACCTTCTGCCGCTCCCATCTCGGACTTGCTTGCAGACAAGATCCCAGGACCTTTGCAGGGGTGGGGAAAAGAAGAAAGGGACATATTAAAAATGAAGGGAAAGGATACTTTAATTTAATAAGCTACTAATTTGCCAGGACCTGAAAAAGATGTGTGTGGTATTATTCAGGACAATGCAGAGCATCAGATGCACCTACAACATGCTCTGACCTATGGACTGTACTTTTCTGCCTTGTTCTGCCAAAAGAAGAACCACACAAGGAACTTGCCCCATCCTTCCCTTAAGAATCTGCCTAGGAACAATTAACCGATCCCTGCCTGGTTATGTACTGTTCTGTCTCTCTGCATTGCCTTCTCAGACTTGTTAATTTAGCTTCTTTCAGAAGAGACTGCTGAATGCAACTGCTCTGTGCAAGCAAGTCATTTGGGGGGGAAAGACTCCTGTGCCTTGTCTGCCAGGTTGAGCCACTGGAAAAGAATGGAAAATTAAAGGGGACCTAACTTTGCTCTGGGACGTGGGTGGTGCTGTGGGTTAAACACAGAGCCTAGGTCTTGCCGATCAGAAGGTCAGCGGTTTGAATCCCCGCGACGGGGTGAGCTCTGTTGCTCGGTCCCTGCTCCTGCCAACCTAGCAAGTAGATAAAAAGGTACTGCTCCAGCAGGAAGGTAAACGGTGTTTCTGTGCGCTGCTCTGGTTCGCCAGAAGCGGCTTAGTCATGCTGGCCACATGACCCGGAAGCTGTACACCGGCTCCCTCGGCCAATAAAGCGAGATGAACGGCACAACCCCAGAGTCGGTCACGACTGGACCTAATGGTCAGGGGTCCCTTTACCTTTTTTTAACTTTGCTCTAGAACTTGCATCTTTTAAACAGCTGCATCCTGTTTGAGCATAATTTGCCCCCTCTTGTCAAAACAACCATGTCCCCCTCTGCTTCTGATGGGCAGGGTGGAGATGGAATGCTTTTGGAAGTCTTTTAACAGTTCTAACTTGCCTTGCTTCTTCAAGCCCCAAAGTGCCCTCTTCCTTTCTTGCACAATGCCCCTTTCTGTGTGTCATGGAAAGCTGCTGGCTCCCAGGTGATAGTCACCTAGGAATTAAGAAAGCATCCAGTGGATTCAGCAAAGGATTACCAGCTTGCGTGCTGATCCAGGATGACTGTTCTTTTTTTAAAAAAAAAAAAAAATTATCATAGCCAGAAGAAAAACTGAGCATTAATCAGAAGCCCTGCATCCTGTGGTTGCATGAGGGCATCATAACAAATTAAGCTTTATTACAGTAAGCCTAGGTGAGTCTCGAGCAGGAGATCGGAAGCTCTGGCTTCTGTTTTGACTAACTACAGGGTTTGGAGTAATATGACCTCTAAAGCATGGTTAATCTTAACTATGGTTTGCTGAAATAAGCCAGCTTCCTAACACCTAATTTCTCCAGTAAAATTATTTTTATCTGCCTTGGCTTTTCCAGATGACCTGTTTATTGAGGGTTCGTCCTGATTTGTTTGCAGAAAGATTACCGGTAAATGATCAGCATTTAGATTTTTTCCCCAGGGAGCCTGGAAAACGTTGCAATGAAGCAAAAGTTATACCACACTTTCCATTGCATTTTCATTCACTTTCCATATCAGAAAGAGTCTGACCTTTTGAGGAAGCAGTTTCGTTGCACAAGAAGCTTCCAAATCACAAGCTGAATTTGCCAGTATATGATTGAATCCAATCAGAAAATAGCAAAGAGCCTGCAAGTTCTCTTACTTACTATTGTACATCACTATGATATCTGCTCATGCTTAGCAGTTTGTAAGTTTTCCAAATAAGTAAGATAAACGGTGCATGGTTTTTGTTGGGTTCTGACAAAACAAGCTGTAGTTAACGAAAAACAAAAGCACCTGCTCTCCTTGTGAGTTAGTTTAGTGCAAAGTCTCAATTGGCAAAGCATGGTTTGAGAACAGCCAGCAAACTAGAATCCAAAACCATAGAATATGTTTCAGCTAACCACTGTGCTGTGAAATTTTTGAACTGACCATAGTTGTTATGCTACCTCTGGAAGCTCTTGCACCAAGAAATAAGATTGCTGACAAGATGAAAAGTAAAAGCAGGCATGTATCTCTAAAAAAGTTGGCCCATATGCTGGGAGCTCAAACAACAATCTGGAATCTAAACTATGGTTAGTGCGAACCACTCTCTCTAAACTGAGAGAGAGAAACAGTGGCTTTATTTCGATTTTCTCTCTTTGGATTTACAGAGCTATATCAGAAACGTAATTCACATTTTCACAATTCACAACAACTGGCGAATTCACAGAACTGGTCATAATTCATAGGAACTGGTCAGGTGAGATTCTAGAATATATTACTGTCTTTCTGACAGTTTCCCTTTAGCAGCATCTGCTACCAACCGCTTCCTAATTTTTGTTATCAGAGCAGACTCTACTGAGGCTGCAACTTCACAAGAAGCTGTTAACAAGACAGGTGCTCCACTACAAAGTTATTTCATCTGGATATTTTGGACCAGCAGCTACATGTGTACATGTGATTACGTTACAAAGAACCCTTCCACCACCAATGCCCCAATCCGAAAATCCCATACGCCTCAGAAGTCAGCATACTTCCAAAACTAACAAAATTCTCTCATGAGCCTTTCATAGACCAACAGGTTAACAAATGCCTATTTATCTAATTTTAGCAATGACTATATTTTGGACAGAATAAGAATTGAAGATTCAATAACATTAGCATTGCCCAAGAACCTACTCTCATGCCAACAGAGACTCAGGTGAAATATTATTCAGTTTATCCTTTTGCTTATGTTGTATAGCGGCTGCTCACTCCAGGACACATGCAAAGGTCATTAGAAAGCAGTTAGGTTAGGATTCATAACAAGAAGAGTTTCCTTAGTTTCTTAGGCTATGCAAAAGGGACCAGACTGAGCCTCCAGGCCATCACTTCCTAATCTACAATGAGCAGAGGGACTGTGGAAGTACTTCCATCAGTCACAACAACAAAAAGTTCAAATACAGTAGTCACACTGCATTCTCACTTCCGGTGATAAAAATTCCTACTTGAAGGAAAAATAAAATGAATGTTTAAACAACACTATAATACAAAATGATTTCCTCCCTCCCTTTTTTGTTAAAAAAAATGCATCAAGTATTTCTACTAATAACTATGTACTGTACATCTTTAATGCACTTTGCCTAGAAATACCAAACCTGTTGACTACTCACACAGGACAAAGCAGGCATGATTCTTCAATACGCATGCCACGTTTCATGTTAGAAAACGAAGCTCAACAAGTTAAAGTTCATCAAAATCCTTCAGGAAGCTGAATAACTCTCTTCCCAGATACAAATTCACAAGGAGCTTCGTTTTTTTAAAAAAGACCCCCCCAAAAAAGTTAAAATACAATGCTGCACAAAGTCTGTTTTCCAAACGCCTCAATGAATCTTCTTGTTTCTCCCAGTTGCTACGCTTCTGTTGAAGCTGTTTCCTTGCAGGGAACAGACTATTTCTAGCACGCCTGCTGTGCTTTTCTGGCCAGCAGCTCGCAAGAAATGCGGTGTTTGATAAAACCGGACAAAGGCTTCCCTTGTACTGCAAATCACAGCGTAGTCCCACTGGTGGCCTGCTCTGGAGCCTTCTATAGTAATCAGTGCCATGCTTTCGCCTGCTAACATCAATCTTCCCTTTCTGTCAGAAGCCTCTGGCAAAGGCTTAGGAAAGCCAGCCAAGATATTAGAAAACTTTCCTTGGCTTCATTACAGCTGAGAAGTCAATCTTAACGTTCTTGGCATTTTCCCGTCTAACTTCCGGTGGCTTCAGTCCTTTTCTCTCCCCTCACCCAAATTTGTTAGAGTGACAAATGACGTCGAAAGGGCAGCACTGGAATTCTTCCTGGCAGCGTGGCATCCATTTATTACAGATGTAGATGCCAGAGAAATCTTTTCTGCTAAGCCGTCTAAGTTGGTTATACCTTTTCCAGGCCTGAGGAGGTTCAGGCCTTCTCATGGCCCTACATGCATGTTCAAGCTATTTTTAAAATCAATACTATATCTATTGTTACAGGCACTGGGTGCCTGGCGTGCGTGTATGACATCACATGGCGGGAGGAGACCGCAAGGCCCGCCGCAACTGCAGGGATGCTCTGCAGAGCCTATCGCAGGCCATGGAATATTGAGGGGGCCCAGCCCACTCCTTGAAAATTTAAGGGGTGTCCTCAGCCTCTCCCAAGATGGCGCCCCTGTCTATCTTACTGCACACACAGGGTCTAGAGCCGAGCTTTCCAATCTTTTCATGTTGGTGACACACTTTTTAGACATGCATCATTTCATGACACAGTAATTCAGTTCTACTAGCAAACCCGGAGGTTAAACTTACCCCTTTCCAGCCCTGGGAGGAGCAAGGGGAACGTTTGTGTGACACACTGCAGCCGACACATTAATGTGTCGCGCCACAGTTTGGAAAGCTCCAGTCTAGAGAGCTTGGTATTTTGTTTTACATTGCTAAATTTTACTTTCATTACTGGCATTTAGCCAGTTACCCTCTGCCTCTGATCTGTGCCTTCCCCATTTTATGGTAAAACCTCGCTAAATTATTGCAAAACCTCGCTAAAAGTAGAATGTGTACACAGGTGAAGGGGAACAGAACAGTGATCAGATGATATGTGAATGTGCAAAAGTCTGAACAGAAACACACGAAGGTATTTCTCGCATGAGTCGTAAACTATATGACTGTTCCAAAGCCAATCTAATTCTGCTTTGAAGGCATGACTGCTGTTTTGCTTGAAACAAATGCAGAATGTAGCTTCAGTACAGGCTGGAATAGCACTCCCTCAATGGAAACTCTACTCATGCGCCTCAAGCCACTAGCCTCCCATCCTCCTGAAGCAGCAGCTATTTTAAAATGGCTATCACCTCAGAAGGATGACTGTCTCCAGCTGCTCAGGAAAGGATGAGGTTAAGGAGGGACACCTGCTGTCAGCCAAGGAAAATGGGGAAGGAAAGGGTGGATGCAGGAAAATATCTGGGGTGGGGAGGGAGGCCCATCCCCTACAAGAAGC